TAAAAACTTCAGCATGTGGTAGTCTACAATGAACTTTTAAGGCGCAGAAAAATGACAAATTAAATAACGAACGGTTTCTGATCAATTTCAGCCGTTATCTTCTCAAAAATATATAGGGCGGTTTCTTGCAGAAACCATCCGTTATAACAATACTTCAATCTCTGATTATGTTGTAGGTGTTGGATCACATCTGGTTAGTCTTTCTTTTAGAGTAACTTTTATTGAGAGATCTAACAATATCAGACGACTAACTGAAGAACATTACTATTAACTATGAATACAAGTAGAATAGCAAATGTTTCTGAAAGATGTCAAATAAGAAATGTCTTTCTATACCTCCTGAGCAGCTTGCAGCAATTAAAAAGAAATATCAGGATTGCACAAGCTACATGGACCGTGATTAAATATTCCGTAAAGATATCTCATTACATAACACAGAGATAAGTTTTCTCGATTAGTTTCACTTATTAAGAAGGCTCAGTTAGCAGAGATTAAGATACTCCGTCTCTGAGACATTTTCGATAACTGATTTTCAGAGATTCATTCAACATTTTCATCTTAACTGTTTCGATGTGCGTATCGAATCATCATAGACCATTTTGAAAAAGTCGTTATTTTCTATTATACCCAACATTGACTCAAGTTTTTCCCACTTCTTTCCTTTAAATATTCCATCTTCTCTTGATCTCACGTAGTAGTGATTCAGTCTCATTTGTTGCATATCAACATCTAATATTTTACTATTCTTTTTCGTTGTCTCATGAAAATGAGGTTCTAAACGAGAAATAAGTCCATATTTAATCATTGTTTTTCCGTTACCAGTATCACATGGATTCCAGCCCCCTCGTGGTGAACAATTAAACAACTGACGTAATTCATCACTGTTATAATTATCTAAGTTTTTAGTTAGACCTCGATAAGTGTTTGTGGCCAACATAGGAAACTAGAATAAACAAAAATCAATGTAACAATTCTATTTACAATCATTTGATTAACAAATAATCTTCTAAGTATAGCTAACTATACAATTTAACTTTAACTTTAACTATGCAATTCAGGTCTTCACATCTGGCTTACTCTCTCTTTTGACTCTTTGTTAAATATTTCATTTGTCTTATCTTTAACATAACCAAATCTTACATCAGCGAAATAGAAACTATCATATCGATCATAATTCTCCTCGAGATACTTCGAATTTCGAATATTTAAAAATTGATCTATGTCTTGAACTAATAACAAATCTTGACTCTGAATACTCGTAAAACACTTCTTACATAAATTAAAATTTTGTTTTGTACTATTATCATGGTTAAGATGATTTTTATACGCTAAATCATATTTTAACGTGATATTGACTGAAATGGGTTTACCAACATTAACGATACAAATGTTTTTAAAGCCTAAAAGATTCATATTATAATCAAGCCATTCGGTAAGAAATTGTTCTTCATCCATCACTTGTGTACATATGTAATAGTCAAATTTATTTCGTACTGGCAAGTTTAGCAGTGTTAAACCCTGTAGTTGAAAAATATAGACTGTCAACATTAAACCGCTACTAATGAAAAGTAAAATGAGCAGCAACCGTTTCATTTATAATTTTCTTCAAAAATTACGTATTACACTGCATAGCAATAGCAAGTTGGCATAGTGAACGAATAAAAGAATGTTAGAAAAAAAAACAATTTTTTTCTAATCTTCTTTGTTTTTCATGCACTTTCTTAAGCGATTTGAGAATTTATTTATGTCGACAAACATTTAGCATTTATGCTGGAAATTTTCTTTTTTCTTTTTTCTTTACATGTTTTTTGGCGAAAAGAGAACGCCATGATCCAGCAAAATATCGTAGAGAAGTTTTGAAAAGGGAGAGTGTTCTACGGAAACTGGAAATTGACCATTGTACGTTCTTTACTCAATTGAAGATCCAAACTCGGCGGTATAAGCTCCATAAGTGAGCAAAAAAATGGCTGTTGGACTTAGATTATTATTGTTATTTTTTGTCCGGCGCCATTTAGTCAGAGTCTCTCGTTTTCAAATTTCCTTCATTGTTCTTTTATCTTACACTATAAAAAAAAGGTCGTAGATTAATAAACCACAATAAAAGAGTTTTGGACTAAAAAACTGATCAAAAAATCCAAAAGAGTCCTTTAACGGGTTTTTTTGGCCAAAAAACTAAAAAGCATTTGTGGTCGTTTCAAAATGAAAAACTCACGGTTTTTCCAAAAACTCTTTTATTGTAGTTTATTAATCTACGACCTTTTTTTAGAGTGTATAAGCAGTTCGAAGAGTAAATCAAAGCAAAAATGCAATGCTCAGGGCCTACTGGTAGGATCTGCTTGGAGCAGTACCCACTAGAAAAAAAATTTTGAAATCCTGAGAGTTAAAAGTCCTGTAGATGTCACTTATATCCTGCAGGGTTTGGCAACATGCTGCCGGACCGAAAATTTTCCTCCGCGATGTCGGATATACCTTGCAAGATATTTTACTCTGCTAACCCTGTGGAATTTTTTCCTCTCTGTTATCACTTTTAGCAAGCAAGATATCTTACTACGCTGACCCTACAAGATCTGTAGGATTTCATCCTAAAGAAAAGAAACAGTAGCTCGCAGGAAAAGTTATTACAGGGCCGGCGTTGAAGTAAATATAGATAAAAAATGCATTGTTTAAGATCAAAAGACCAATAAAATTGGTCAGAAAAAGTTGAGGGAACGTACCAAAATATATTCCGACCACTATTTCACAGTTGCTACAGAATATGTTATTTTATACTAATTTTGCTATATATTGTTTATGTATATCAAGCTTCATTTTTTTCCTAATTATTTCTACTTCTTCAAAGCCAATCAACCACCGAACTTCGACAGATTATTCATTTATCAAGATAGCAACAACATATTTAAAGCAAAAACATAGAACATTTCTTTTATAATCCATTCTACTGTCATACTGTTTAAGCTAGAAAAAGTTTCAACTTTTCATAAACGTGGTACATTCCACTTCACGCTACATCAAACATTTTTTTGAAAACGACCCATCTAACCTCAACAACTATTCAGCTTTGAATGGTCAATAGTCACGATTATATCTCAATACAGTTAATGGGCGCATTAGAGTAGAGTTTCTTTTGGTACTATTTCTGAGTTTTTCCTGAGCTGATATTTTAACGAACACTTCCCACTATTGGATCACATTACAAGAAAAAAATGAAATTATTCATTTTGTTCTTCTCCCGTGTTCTCTCCTTCTCATTACATAAACTTAACCTGCAAATTTATGATAAAGTTATCGACTCTGCAGTACATAAGAAACCATTCACTTGAGATATCAAATATTAGTTTTCTTTAATTCAAACTGGGTTTTCGCAATGAAAAACTTGTTTGATCCGTACAAATGAAAGCGCATGCTCTAAAACCTACGCAAAACTATTTTTTAAGGTTTTGGAAGCGTGCAAAACTAAAAGTTTGAACGTAAAAAGTTTTTC